CACACACACACACACACACACACACACACGTCAGAATCCTCCTCTCAATGCTCCACTTCCCCACCAGAAACTAGCAAATTTCTTAACTGAGTTGGGTGCTCCTAACCTGACCCTGTGTTCCCTAGATTTAAGAAAGGGAACATTTTTCTGGAGCACTAGGAGAAAATGGACACCTCTTATACAGCAAAGAAACAATGAAGAAAAATACAAATGATTCTTGTCATTCATCTTTCACGATATCTAGAAACTCAATTTTGATTCAAAATATTTTATCTTTATACATTCCCTAGATTTCTTTCAACTGTTTAAATCATCATCTCAAAAGAATGAAAACTAACAGTTTTTTTTTTATTATAAAACCTCTGGAGTGTCCTTAATAGAAACGTTGAGACAGTTTTTATAAGAGCAACAGAGTAAAATAAAAGAAAATAGCATAAAAGTGAAAGACTTTTTCTTTCTTTCTTTCTTTCTTTCTTTCTTTTATTAAAGTCCTCAAAATTAAGACTTGTTTAAGCACAACCAATGAAGCTAGATAGACAGATAATAGATAGATGATAGGTAGATAGATGGATATTGATAGACAGACAGATGGATGAGCCGTCCCCTCTCACTTTCCTTCACTTTGTCTCTATTCCTGCCCCTTCTGTCCCTCAGGTCCCTAGCCCACCCAAAACTCTCCAACTACTGTTAACAACCACTTCATCTCTATGCGTCCCCACTTTTGCCATCCTCACACAAACTATATGCCAACATGATTACATAAGTAATATTTAAAATATAATTTATTCTCACAAGACAAGATCATACTGTGTATTGAATATGTTTCTCTTGCTTTTCTCATTTAACTCTCTAGCCTGCCCATCCATCTAGGGCAGTAGATACAGATCTAACTCACTGTCCATTATAAATGCATAATGGTTCATATAATACATTAGAATTTACTCAACTATTCTTTTTTAATCATCATCCAGGTTGTTCCCACATTACAATACAAGCAATTCTATCATGTATATAATATATATATTATATGTAATAATAATGTATATTATATATATCATTAAATGCATGTATTTTTATTCCATGTATCATTAACTATTTCATATATTATTAAATATATATATTTTAATAGAGACTCCGAATATTTGAATTTGGGGGAATAAAATCAGCTGACAGAAGGCAAACAGAGGAAAGGAGGATCACAGAAGCAGACCCAAATGAGAGCTGTCATTTTCTCTTCTACCTGGTCAGCATATCTGCTTGCCATGCCCTAGGCTGGCTTCAATAGGAATCTGGGCTCATCGAATAGGATACAAATTAGGACTTGCATTCCTCCTAAGGGATCAAGAAGGGAGGCTCAGAGGTGGCTCCCCAGGCGGCCACCTTTGAATACCCTGACTGTAGGAAGTCCTATCACCCAGCCATCCTTTTTCCAAGACCTGAGGCTCCAGAATGAGCTAATGCTTCTCCCACATGGAGAGCCCTTCCACCATTTGAAGACAGAGCTTACGGTTCTTCTGAGTCTTCTCTAAACTAAACATCCCCAGTTCTTTTAACTGTTCCTCATATGAAACAGTCTTGAGTGCCCTCACCCTGGGTGTATTCTTCCCTCCTCTGTGTTTGCTCAAGCACAGGGCTCCAGGGGTTGCCAGAGCTGCTCAGGTGAGGGGACCATCACCGGCCTCGCTTTGGACATAACTGTTGCTCACCCTCAACAGCCTCATCTCAATGTTGACTCACTCTGAATCTACAAAAGACCAACAGCTGGAATTCTTTTCATATATGCTATTGCTAAGCCATACAGAAAAAAGTCACTAAGCATCTTGCCATTTGCTAAGATGTGATCATGGAAGAAACTAATACAAGGTACTAATGATATGCTCACCAACAGACCCCTTATCAGAGAAGGGATGTGAGCAGGTAGCAGAAAAATCAGGAGGCAGCACTTTTCAAGTCTGAAATTTTCTACCCATTTTCTTCCACCATCATATATACCCCTACTGTTGTCTCATATTGATCCAGCATCACGGACCCTAAGGAATGCTTCTTCACAGGGTTGGAAGAGGTTGAAAAGATAAATAATTTCCCCCCAAAATGTTGATCTAATTATAGATGACAAGATTTATGAGGGAATGGGCCTATATATCTTGTTCAGCTTTCTATCCCCAGAGCTAATTATTGATAAAAGATCGACTCTCTGCCTGTCTGGCTGAATGAATGAATGATGATGCCCAACCTCTGAGGCAGATGTCAAGGCGAACAGCCAGGTGTTGCCATAACATTCATCCCATCAAAATACTAGTCTAGAAGGTCTACCGTCTGAATCACTATAGCACTTGCTAGGATTTATATTTTGAAAATCTCAGGTCCTACAATTCAGCCTCTGCCCTTCAACATCTGGAACAAATTCAGGGACTCTGGAGTTGGTTCGAATAGCTACTTCTAGTGGAAGGATTAATTAATTGAATCAACAAAAATTTCGAGTACCTACTAGGTATCAGGCCCAGGTTTAGATATAAATACAAGCAATTCTGTCTCCAGGGAGGACACATTCTAGTGGGGTAAACAGGTATAAAATAAAAATAAATAAGCAAAATATATAGGATATTGAAGTTCATAAATGCTATGGAGGAGAAAAAAGGATTTAAGGGATGAGGGAAGACCACCCCCACCCATTCCCTTTTTCTCATCTCCACGCAACCAACTCCACAAATGTAAGTGCAATTCTCTTTACTACCTTCTAGAAAACTAAGCAAGGGGAGAAATACAACCATTTAAAATTTTTAATCATTAAACAACCCCCCATGTGTGTTGGCAGTGGTTTGGGGTCAAAACACCAGCTGTGTAAATTCTGGAAAAGGAGCTTTCCCAGGCTCCAGGTGATTGCCGGCATGTGCTCCCCGGTATGAGTCTAAGGTCGAAATCCCCTTTTGGAGATGAGCCTACCCCTTCTCCTAGCAGCTCAGTGTCTCTACCATTCCAGCTTCCATGTTTTTTTATTCTT